GGCTTTCCAGGATGGACCTCTTGAGGTCACTGTAACTGAGTCAGCACCCAGGCTCCTTCTCTCTCAGAACTGTCCCCAAAAGAGGAAAATGTGGCCCCTTGACCTAAAGGCCTCCTGACCTGGGTGTTCTCCCCAGCACCTCCCCAGCACTGACTCCTTCACATCTGTTAATGAGGACATCCAGCCTGAACCAGGCTTCTCCTGCTCCCGTGGAAAGCACCGTGGTTGGCTGACAGTGGTAGTTTATAAAATACAGTATCAGCCTTGGCTGACCCTGTCTCCCTCCTGAATCATCTCTCTCATGGTTTGGGGGGACCCTATGACCTGGGAGGGCCACTGGGCCCAGTCACACCACACAGGCCCAGGCCTGGAGCCCAGGAACCCTTCATAGTTGAACACAGCCCTTCACAGTTTACAGAAGGCTCTCTCTTGCCTCATCCCATGTCACTCTTTGAAGTGGAACTTCAAACACCTGGAAGACACAGTGCCAGGACCCAGACCCCACATTCCCCACCTTGGGTCACAAGTATTGCTACAGAGCCCACTTGGTTCCCAGGGCTGGTGGTAGAGGCCTGGGGTGGGTGTGGGCCCAGCCTCACCATCCAGCCCCTAATGCAGTAAGGGAATCCTGCCAAAATCCACCTCCCCTGAATCCCACCCATGGCCCACCCAGATTCTGCGATGTGCCCCCATCCCGTTGCCCAGATGGCCAAGCGGCTCTTCAGCCTCAACCTGAGGCCCTATCCCATTTCATCACTGCATGCTCTTTGCTTTGGCCATAAAGTCTCAACTCCTCCTTACTGAGAGTGGCTGACATGTAGCAAGCCACCTGTTTCCTGTCCACCAGGACCTATTAAGCTTCCAGACTGGTCCCCGTACATACTGTGCTCCCCCTTCCAGGCCCCAGCCTGGAGTTTCATGCTCCCGAAGCCCATCAGTCGAACACATCCAAGACTATGGGTGCTCTGTGCCCACTGCAAATTCCACCCTCCACAAAGTCACCGCACAATAAAGGTGGCCGCTACCCGGATCGCATCTGACACGGGCGTCACTCTGCCCGGCATCAGAGGCTCAGGCCTACCACCTTGGTCTCCTCCACCAGACAGTGAGCTCCTGGGCTAGGGGGTGGGACACATGCACCACCGGAAATGACTCAGCCCAGGGGCCCTAACACACGGCATAGGGCCCCCCAGAACACGAGAACTGTCATGGGCTGAATGAATGAGCAAAAGGATAAATAAGAGGAAGTAGTGAGGCCCGTGGCCAGCCTTGGGGTGCTCTTGCCAGAGTGCTCTGTTAGCACAGGGCAGAGGAGCCCCTCACCAAGCACAGCCCCCCACCCCTGCTTCGAAGAGCACCCGCACACCATTCCTTTCCCTGCCCAGCGCCTCTGGACCCTCCTCCCCCATCCAGGGAGATCCCCCCCTTATGACTCTGCATCTTCCCTCTTCTCCCACAAAAGCCAGCTGGCCCCCATCAGCCGCCCTCGCAGCAACGAATTAATCATGTGACCTGAGCTCCATCAGTGACACATCAGCAGACTTGGGACGGGCCAGGAGTGGCCCAGGAGGCAGGTGCTGTACAGAATTCACTCTGGCTAGCAAGGGGCAGGGACATGACCCGGGGTGGGGGGCAGACTCCAGGGGGGATCAGCAGTTCTGCTGTGGGATTTGGGTCCCTACTCCTGGCTCTGGTACATTCAGTCTTTCTCAGACAGTCTGAGCAGAGGCTGCTTTGGATCTTAAGGCCTGTTCCATGGCTATGAGGCCTGGCTCTCCCCTCTGGGCCTTTGCCCTGCTCCTGCCTCTGCCTATCCACACCCCCCAACCACTTCTGTTAACTCCTTGTCATCCTTTAAGACTCAGCTTCTTGTTATCTTTTTCTGGAAGCTTCCAGCCCCACCCTTCTGGGTTAGGTGCTTCTTTGGTGCTCCCAGAGCCCCCCAGGGGCCACACCAGATGGTAACTGCCCATTGCCACACCTGTCTGCGTCCCTACTGGGTGACGATGCCCCCCCCCCCGAGGGCAAGGGTCATATCTGGTCCACTCGGGACATCCAAGAGATAAATGCTCACATTTGCTGAGTGACTGAGTAAGTAGGTGGGAGAAGCCAGAAGTCTCTGGGTTCTGTGAAAGTCGGGAGAGGGAAAAGCAGTTACAGGATGGCCTTGGGACTTGGTAGGCATGCCCAGCGCTCCCTGAACATCCCTGCCATCCCCCCACCCCAGGCCAGCAATCACCTATTCAGCTTGCACCCATGCAAGGGGAATGTATGAGGCTGGTCAGTATCTGCTGCTCCATCTACCGTGGGTTTCTTAGTGAATTCAGTGGAAAAATACTTCCCAGGAAATAAATCTGGAGTTACCGACTGGCTTCAAGGACCCTTTATCCCACATTGATTTGTATCTTGGAGATTTAAGCCTCTCCATTTGTTTGCCGGAGACGCTTGTCGTGCAGACGTCAATGCACGTGGCAGCAAGAGCAGTTTCCTGAGCAGCACTGAGTACAAGTCAAGTGCATCCCTTTGGGACATATTCCTCCTCCCCTGACATGGGCAGGCAGGGAAGTTCCCGAGGAGCCACTCAGAGGCCATCAGGCCTCTCTACCGCACCAGCCAGGCCACCACGGGCTGCATGGGAGTCGAAGTACTGGGAGTCTCTGCCCCTCCAGGTGGCGGTCACCAGAGACTCACAAAGCTGCACCAGAATGATCCACAGCCCACCCCAGCCTGTGCATGGGAAGCACATGAACTCCTTCCTCAGGATGTCTGCAGAATCTGTGGCAGGGGCAAGACCGCCATCCCATGGGTGCCACCTCCGCTGAGCATCAGTTTGGATGGTCTCAGCTCCTTGCTCAAAATGCCTCAGTCCTCTGGCCACCTGGACATGGAGGCCTTTTTCCTTCGTTTCCATTCCCCAAACCCACTCACACCAGGCATTCGTGTGAGTAGAAGTCTTACTGACAGTTGGAGAGGCAGAAAGATCTGCTTTGTAATTACAGGAGCCTTATTAAAATCCTTCTCCCTGGATGTCTCTCTGCTTTTTCCGCCCTGGTCTACTCTCTTTTCCTTCGTGCCCCTCGAATCCTGCCTACTGTCAGAGCAGAACAGTCCAGCCCCCGGAATCCCATTTCCTCCCCTGGAGAGGCTGATCAATTCTCTTAAACAAGGAGGATGCGCTTCGGAGGAGAATTTGGTGCCAGTTCTTAAAACGATGAATTTTCAACCCTTGGGACAGACTTGCCCTCACACCAGACCCAGTGCCAGGCACCTCTTGCCTTCCAAGGACCCAGAATTGAATGGAGTACAGATGCAGACCTCACAGAGTCCAGGGTAGGCGGCGGGGGCGGGGGGGGGGGCAAGTCCAGGTTCACCACAACAGAGCAGGTGGGGAGATACTGAGCAGAGGGAAGCACGACACAGATGGGCAAGGACAGATGAAGGGCAGCTCCCTCCACGTGGGGGAGCCAGATAGGGCTTCACCAAAGACATGGAAAATATGGCCTGGAGGGGGCTCCATGCGGGGGGGGGGGGGGGGCAGCTGGACCAGAATCCTTATCAGTATGTCTCTAGGATGGACAGCTCAGGCTGCGCTGTAATCACTGGTTGCTGGGTCTCCCTTCCCTAGCAGACTGGGAGCTCTGGAAGGGGATCTCCCTTCAAGGGCCACGTTTAATCAACCTCAGCCCCGGGAGGAAGGACGGGAGGAAGGTAAGTAGGGGCAGGAGCCAGGGCAGCATCTAGAGTCTGGAGGCGCTGGAAGCCACAGGACCCCTGACGCTGCAGCAGAGACAAGAGGCGGAATTGGCTGGATCTGCCTCCTACACCGACGTGGCAGTGGATGTGATCACTTCCTACTGAAAGTGGGCCGGAGGCAGGGCTGTGGATCCCTGGGTCACTCCTATGAAGGACCTTTGCCGTCAAGTGCTATGACCACCGACAGTGCCCTGTGCGCTCACATCTGTCCAGCACTCTGCAGTTAGGAAGAGTGTGACCACCCGCAAGCTCAGCAGAATCAAGGTGTGGTAAGCCCTGGGCACTGGGCACCGTTTGGGACTCCTAGGAGGTTCTCCAGTCCTCTCGGTGTCCCCGTGCTTGGAGCTTCCGGAGCACGGAGAGTAGTAGTTAATTATAGGCTGCCTTGCATTGTTCTCTGATTACTGTTTCAGGCTGGGGAGGCTCCTCACCTGCTCTGGATCCTCAAGCAGAAAGGATGTGCCTTCTGCGTCTTCTCTGTGCCCAGCACCCCCTGCAATACCAGCCTGGAACCAGCACCCCTTCAAAAGCAGCAGGGTCAGGTGATTCCTCTACACATTGGCCACACGTTAGAATCACCTGGGAGGTTTGATGAAATACTGATGCCTGGACGCCCCCTCCAAGGAGGCTGATTTAACTAGTCTGCAGTGGGGCGCCGGGCACTAGTATTTTCTCAGACAAATAATAATTATTCTAGTGTGCCGTGAGGGCTGCGAACCTCTGCTGCAGCATCTCGTGCGACAAAAGCCAGTGTTCATGGGAAACGTGTACCTTGGAGGAAGACTGGCTCTTGGTACCAAGTTTTGTCCCTTTCCAGAGCTCACCCATTCCAACAGCTTTCAGGTCCCCACGGCATCAGATGACTCCTGAATCTCGGCGTCCAGCCCAGAGAGACTTTCAGCTCCAAAACACAAGCCCCCGGGGACAGTACATACAGTACGCAGCTCCATCTGCACCAGGACCCTGCCATCCTGCTGAACAGCTGCATTAGTCATATGCTTTAGGCTCTCCGTGACGGGAAACCAACTTGAACTAGCATAGTCAATGGAAGGATTTGGGGTATCGCCTGCAGCCCTTGGGTGCAGGGTACCAGAGGGGCCCAAGGGAGATGGGGAGGTGGCTAATGGCTGCCTTTTGGTGTGAATGCAGCCACTGCCACACTTGGAAGAGCAGGCACTGGGGAGACACCCCAACCTCTCTCTGCCTGGCCTGTAATCTCCCGCTGCTCTCTCATTGGCTGAACATACCTGGAAGTTAGAGTCCAAGTGCTGCAATCCACAGTGGTCAGCTTTCCAGGCACAGAGCATCTGTAGAAATGAATATGAAACACCATGAGCACGGGACAGCCACCCAGATGGACTCTACCCTCGGGCTTCCAGTTATCTAAGGGATTTAAAGTCACCCTTGCTTCCCCTGTTTGTTCTCCCCCACTGCCATATTCCCATCACCAAGTCCTACCCTACCCACATCACCTCCCAAATGTTTCTGGAATCCAGCCTCTCTGTCTTCATTCTCTCTTTTTTGGACTTTTGCAAATTCTCTCCTCCCCTGGCTTCTCCATGTCCAGTCGAATCCACCCGTCCAGATGCCATTGACTTGACCCATGGCCCTTCCCAGCCAAAACCCTTCCAGGACCACCACCCCTAACCCCCACTGTCTTCAGGGTAACAGGCAGACCCACCCTGCATGCTCCAGAGCTACAGATCCCCTCCAGGTGGGTTGGAGCAAAACCAGCAAGGTTGGTGACAGCCTAGCTTAGAAAACTGGGCCTCTTCCCTTAGGCAACAGGAACCTAAAGGAGTTTTGAAAGCAAGATTTTATTGCCCTTCTTGTTAACTTCTTATTTCGAAATAATTTCAGGCTTTCCAAGAAGTTGCAAAAATGGCACAAAGAATCCCCATCTACTCTATCCAGAATCTCTAAATGTCAACGGAGGACACGGTACAAGGATAAAATCAAGAAATACTACTACCTAGCCCACACACCTTATTTGCATTTCTCAGATAGTTGCCCTAATGTCTTTATTTTCTGGTCTGGGATTCAACCTTGGGTCACCCTGCCTTCAGCAGTCACAAATGTCTGGTCTCCTTCCATCTGGAACAGTTCCTCACCTTTGTCTTTCGCAACCTCCATACCTTTGTGTCTGTACTGGCCCCTTGTTTTCTAGAATGCCCCTCTCCTGGGTATTTTCTGATGTCTCCTACCATTTAATCCAGGGTATGCATTTTGGGTAAAAATGCCACAGAAGACGGGTTGTATCATTCTCAGTGCGTCAGAGCAGGTGGCACATGACGTCAGCTCGTCCCAATATGGTTGATACTAATTTTGACTGTTTGATTGAGATGCTGCGTGCCAAGTTCCTCCAGTGTAAAGTTGTTATTATCTCCTTAGTAAGGATGCCCTGGGGAGGTTACTTTAACACTGGAAATGTCCCATTTCTCATATACAACCTGCCCACCAATTTTAACGTCCATTTAGCATTCTCACCAGAAACAGTCTCTACCCGGGCATCTGCCAAATGGTGATTCTCAAGCCCGCCACTCCTTCTACATGTACTCATTGGAATTCCACTGTCAGGACAAGAAAAGCGGGATCCACCCAACAGAGGACGGTCTCCAGGAACCATAGCAGCTCACCTGACATATGGCAAACCATATACCTGATAAGGAACTTTATCTGGAGTATATGAAAGACCCTCACAGCTCAATAATAAAAAGACAAATGAGCCAGTTAAATAAATGGGCAAGGGATCGGAATCTAAGTTTCTCTAAAAAAATACAAATGACCAATAAGCACATGAAAAGATGTTCGATGTAATGATTAGGGGAATGCAAATCAGAACCACTGTGAGATGTCACTTCACAACCACTAGGCTGGCTGTAATAAAGAAACAACACTAAAGAGTACTGGTAAGGCTGTGGAGACTGAACCCCTCCCTTGCCTCTGGTAGGAATGAAAAGCGGTGCAGCTACTTTGGAAAACAATCCAGCCTCTCCCCAAAAAGTGAAATATAGGGTCACCATGTGACCTAGCTCTTCCATAACCAGGTGGATACCCAAGAGAAATGAAAGCCTCCGTTCACATGAGAACGTGCACGTAAATGTTCAGAGCAGCATCATTTGCGCCAAAAAGTGGCAAGAATCCAATGCCAGTTCAGTGATAAATGCATAAGATGTGGCCTATCCACACGACGTGCTATTATCCAGCAGTACAAAGAAATGATGTATGGATACACGCTACAACACGGGTGAACCTTGACAACATGATGCTGAGTAAAAGAAGCCAGCCACAAAGAACCACATATGCTGTGATCCCATTTATGAAATGTCCAGAATAAGCAAATTTACAGACAGAAGGTAGATTACTGGTTGCTACAGGCTGGGGCAGAGGAGGGAAGGGGGCGTGACTGCTAATGCGTTGGGGTTTTTTTGGGGGGGCTGCTAAAAATGTTCTAAAATTCTGGTGATGGTCACACAACCCCATATACTAAAAAACGTTAAATTGTACAGCTCAAATGGGTGGGTTGCATGGTATGTGAATTATATCTCAATTATTTTTTAAAGATTTTATTTATTTATTCATGAGAAACACACAGAGAGAAGCAGAGATGTAGGCCGAGAAAGAAGCAGGCTCCCTATGGGGAGCCTGATGCGGGACTCGATCCCAGGACCCCGGGATCGTGCCCTGAGCCAAAGGCAGACACTCAACCACTGAGCCACCCAGGCGCCTCTCAATATATCTCAATTATATCTCAGAGCTCCTTGGGAGCTTCTCCACATCCCCACCCAGCCCAGCTTCCAGCTGCCCTCCACACGCCCAACACGCCAAGCAGAAAAACGACCGTCTCTCAGGCCAGGCAAACCCAGCGCCAACTCAACAGAGTTGCCCGTGATTAAGACTAGGAAGATTCACGGCTACGTCCTGACCAGCTATCTCTTTACTCCCCAGTGAAATATCCTGAGCCAGACTGTGGTTTTGTGACTTGAGGCTCAAGTCCATGAATCAACATAATCTACTTATCAAGACCAAAGGCTGCGGTCACTGTGCCTGCAGAAGAAACAACTCATATTTCTTGGCGCCTTCATGCCAGAGGGCTGGGCCGCACCCTGGTGCCCAATGGGGAGCCGTGCCCATGGATCCTATTGGACTAACCACACACCACCCTGGGGCATACCTTTCCCACAGCCGTCACGGTTGTGCCATTTGGAGCCTAGCAGTCTGAGTCCCCATTTGCTGCTTCAGTGACTCTGGTGGGTTAGCTAGACCCAGCCAGGCCCATGCTGGGTACCCTGGCTTTGGCTTCCTTGCTCTCCTTGACATGACGATGTAAGACACGACTATATGGGGGATGGTGAAGTGGGACAGGGGAGTTAAACGTATAAGCTCTCAGCCATAAAATAAATAAATCCTGGAGATGCAGTGTACAGCACGGGGACCACAGTTAACCACACTGTATTGTATATTTGAAAGATGCTGAGAGAGTAGATTTTACATGTTTTCATTACAAGGAAAAAAAATTGGGAGTTGTTTGAGTGGCTCAGTGGCTGAGCATCTGCCTTCAGCTCAGTTTGTGATTCCAGAGTCCTGCGATCGAGTCCTGAATCAGGCTTCCCACAGGGAGCCTGCTTCTTCCTCTGCTATGTCTCTACCTCTCTCTGTATGTCTCTCATGAATAAATAAAATCTAAAAAAAAAAAAAAGACTTTCATCTAAAAAAAATTGTTATTAAATATGGTGCTGAATATTAACTAGACTTACTGTGGCGATCAGTTCACAATATATAAAAATATTGAATCGTTATGTTGTATGGTACATGTCAATTATGTGTATAAAAAAAAGATCAGAAAAAGAAAACCAACTTCAATCAGGGCCCCTTCCTTTGGTTTAAAGTACTTTGATAACTTCCCAGTATAAAGAAGGAGCTCCCAAAGTTGGTCTGCTGTGACTTCTGGGGGGCAGGAGGGACCTGCTCCACCAAGGCCCTGCCAGCACATGGCCATCCTGGTCCATTCACTCCCAACCACATGGGCTCTATCTCAGCTTCCCCAAGTTCCCTTGTCCCCACTGGCCTCCGGCCCCTGGACAACCTTCCCACCTTGCTTTTCTCACACCTAGTTGATTAGCTCACAGCGTCCTGAGATCTCTGTTAAAACCCCTCTTGATCTTCCCTGATGCCCCAGGACTCTTGAACCTCTTTCCAGCACTGGTCAGCATTGTCGATGTTGGTATGAGGATTGAACTAATGTCTGTCTCCCCTGCCAGGCTGTGTACTCTCTGAACCCTGGGGCCTCTCTGCTTTACTCGCGCTGACACCCCCACCCCTGTGGCTGGCCTAGAGCCTGGCACACAGCAGACGTTCGGAAAGCCTTGTAGATAGGAAAAAAAAGAATGCTGTCCCGAAGTCTATTGGAGCCCTTCCTGCATTCAGCCTCCTCAATTATTCCATTCTCCCCAAACATAAATCAGATCATGGCCCTCCTCTGCCTAGAACCTTCCAAGAGCTTCCCACTGTGATTGTATTAAAATCCAAAGCCCTTGCCTCAGTCTGCAAGGACCTGCAGGGCCTCAACCCTCCACCCCCCTCATACATCACTAGGGGAAGTCCTGAAGAGTTCTAAGCAGAGAAATGCTTGGCCTTCAGAACTGTCACTTTGACCTCTTTGTGTCCCTTGACCTCTCCAAGTGCATTCCCATCTCCACATTGTGTGGGGCCAAACCAATCAGGAAGGGGGGCCAGCCCTGGACAGCAAGCATGAGCTGAAGAACCGCCACCTGCCAGCCTCCCGGGGCCCTGTCCCCAGAGCACAGCAAGGGGTGGGAGAGGGCACTGGCCCTACCCCATACAGAGGAGTGCTCTACCACTGACATCATGCACAACTGCCAGCATGCAGTGATAATAAAGAGCAAAGCAAACTCCAGATCAATTTTATTATTGTCATTAAATCCCCCCCCCCACTGCCCGAAAGCCAGAAGAACCACAGACCACTCACGTAGCTCACCAACCTTGGCATGCCACGGCTCTGTGGGATGATGTCCACCGTTCATTCTCCTCTCTGTCAGGTGTAGGAAGAGGCTAAAACCTCATGTTCACCCCTTAGGGGTTCCCTGCTACAGGCATGGATTATATGTCACTCGACATGGCCAGGCAGGTCAGTCATTTCCTGCTGGGGAGGGAAGTCAGGGCTCAGTCACCCAGTCACACTGCAGGAATTCAAGCAGCTCTTGATGTGACAGGCTTTCTGGATTGGGGCTCTAGAAGGGCTATGGCATTCACTTCAGATCTACTGGCCTCCTCTGAGATAAGCATGGGAATTCTATTTTTTTTTAAAGACTTTATTTATTTATTCATGAGAGACAGAGAGAGAGAGGCAGAGACACAGGCAGAGGGAGAAGCAGGCTCCATGCAAGGAGCCCAACATGGGACTCAATCCCAGGTCTCCAGGATCAGGCCCTGGGCTGAAGGCGGTGCTAAACCGCTGAGCCACCCAGGGATTCCCAAGCATGGGAATTCTAGATCCTTCCCTCAAACCTCTCTAGTTGTGGGGCTGCCTAGGGGGCCTGTGGCAGTTGCTGCTGATGGGGCTCAGGGGCCAGAGCAAAGCAAGAAAGCCTCCAAGTGTTCTTCCTATTTGTTTTCTGCGCCGGCATTCCCATCGCCCTGATCTACACATATCTTACTCTCATGTCAGGGAGGCCGACTTCTCCGCATTTTTTGGATGAGTAAACCAGGGCAAAGTTATAGCCAATGGGGAGCCAGCTGGTCAGACTCCAGTGGGGAGCACCTCCTATGCCTCTGACCCCCACACTCCCATGGCCATGTGGAGGAGAGGCAGGATCAGGGCCCTGTCCTCAGAAGGGACCAAACAAAGTCCTGCTTCACGAGTAGGGAGGCAGTAGAAATCGTTGTGAATTGTAAAATTTCACCAGAAACACCAGGGAAGGAAACACTGGCCAAGTGGGCAGAGAAATCCTGGCCAGGAAAACAGCCTTCTGTTCCAGGTTCCGCAGGGGGAGTCAGACAGATTCGGCTGCTCGGATCCAGCCCTCGTTAGGGCCCACCGCCATCCCAGATGCCAGCACGCACACCGTGATGCATTTTGTCCTCGCCACCATCCTTGGCAGAGCACTAATCATGCCCATTTTACGGATGATGGAACAGAAATGCCTCCAAGAAAGGCAGTAACTTGTGTAAAAGAGTCAGGAGCTCGGCCTTCTAGCCCAGGGCTGTTTTCAGGGACATGTGAACCCCAACCTCCCTAGCCCACCCTCATCATCCACCCCCATCACCCATTTCCATTCCACCGCTCCCCACCTCCCACCCTGCACAGATCCAGCCTGGGTCTTCCCCACCTGCCTGCAGGCCTGTGCCAACTGCAACAGGAATCCCAGGACATTCCCTTCCTCAGCCCCATCCCTGAATATTTTGTAAGAAGACAGCACTCCAGAACTTTGGGCCCAATATGAAGGACATTTAGTAGATGTTAGAAAAAAATAGTCAAGTGTGTAATGAATTCCTGAAAACTTACATGCTGGGATCCTCATTTTACCCTCTGACAATCTCATAGCTAACAAATCAAAGAGGGTGGCCAGGGCGGGCATGGCCAAAACAGAACTGGGACCAGATCCACATGGAGCTACCAAGGGGCCAGAAGGTAGCTTATCTTCCTTATCTCCAGCTTCCTGAACCTTCTGAATTGGAGAACTTGCTCTTCCAGAAAGACCTAGAATGTGGGATAGCCCCAGGAAGGGATGGGGTGTCAGGACTTCTGGACATACAGATCAGCCTCGGGATCTCCACCACTGGATACCTCCTCCCCTCAAAGCCTCCTCCAGAGACCTCACTCCTCTGAAGTGTATTCCCAGCTGATCGAGCTTCATCTTGCCTCTTTTCACTATAAGCCCAAGTCCATGAGGCAGGGATTTTGGCCCACAGAGCAGAGGAGACTTGTCTGGAAGCTCACCTTAAATTCTCTCCCTCTCCAAGCCCCAACATGTTAGGTCTGTGCCTCAAGGGTACATTTATAATCTGACTTCTCGTGTGGGCATATGAATTCCATCCCACTGGCCCACCCAGAATCCGAGTTCTGGGAAGGCAAGGCTTGGGCTGGGACTAATTTTTGCATGCCAGAATGCTAGCTCAGGGCCAGGCCACAGGAGGAAAGAACTCAGGGAGAGGAGAGGAGGTAGGAGATTAAACATGGCAGGTGGCATCACTCAGGACCTACGACCCTGCCCTGATGGGGCCACCATAGCAAAGGGAACCATCCATTCAGCAAATGTTTATTTGAGCACCTACCATAAGCTCAGCATCGTTACAGACACTGAAGTGACACCAGAGAACAATGCAAAGTTTCTGTTCTCATGACACTTAATTCCAGAACTTCCCAAGGGGAGAGCAGGTAGGATGTTTGGATGCAAGTGACAGAACCCGAATGGAACAAGCTTAATCAAAAATGGAAAATCAATAAATAAAATCTTAAAAAAAAAAAGCGGGGGGGGTGGGTGGGTATCCCTGGGTGGCTCAGCAGCTTAGCACCTGTCTTTGGCCCAGAGCATGGTCCTGGAGACCCGGGATCGTGTCCCACATCGGGCTCCTTGCATGGAACCTGCTTCTCCCTCGCCTGTGTCTCTGCTTCTCTCTCTGTGTGTCTCTCATAAATAAATAGGTAAATAAAATCTTTTTAAAAAAATGGAAAATCGGGGTGCCAGGGTGGCTCAGTCTGTTAAGCACCTGCCTATGGCTCAGGTTATGATCCCAGCGTCATGGGATCAAGCCCTGTGTGGGGATCCCTGCTCAGTGAGGAGTCTGCTTCTCCCTCTCCCTTTGCCCCCCCCCACTCATGCTTGCTCTCCCTTGCACTCTCTGTCTCTCTCTCTCTCTTTCAAATAAATACATGAAATCTTTTTTAAAAAAATTTTTGGATTAAAAAAATAAAGGAAAATTTATCAACTCCAGTGACCTAAATGTAGGTCAGGCAGGGGAGGCACTGGCCTTTCAACCCTTTAGAGGCAGGACCCAGCATGCCTCTGGATCTGCTGCTTATCCCTGCCTGTCTCCATGGGCCAGCCTGGTTTGCTCTCACTGCAGACCCCTCTCTCCCACTGGCAGCTTCAGACTCACTCCTACCAGCTCCACCACCAGAACACAAAAGAAGTTTTGTTCTCCTCACCCTAGATTTTAAAGCCCCAGGGAAGGACTGTGATAGGCCTCAACAGTGTCACACGACCACCCCTTGACCCATTTGTGATGGCCAGAGAATTGGGTCCATTAGAAGAATCAAGGAAATAGTGCAGGACAGTCTAACAGGTGTTCACCACCCACGGATCTGATTTAGTTTGCTGCTCCTATCAGCTCTGGAAAGGAAGGTGTCTTAGGCCACGCAGGCTACTATTACAAAAAATACCAGAGACCGAATGGCTTAGAAACACCAGAAACAAAAAAAAAACAAAAAAAAAGAAAAAGAAAAAAAAAAGAAACACCAGAAACTAAAAAAAAAAAAAAAAAAAAAAAAAAGAAAGAAAGAAAGACCAGAAACTTATTTCTCACAGTTCTGGAAGCTGGGAAGTCCAAGATCAAGGCTCCGACAGATTTGGTGTCCTGTGAGAGCTCTCTTCTTGATTCATAGCTCTCTTCCTGATGTGTCCTCACGGGGCGGAAGCGGCGAAGGATCTCTGGGGCCTCTTTTATGAGCGCACTCATCCCATTCATGAGCACTCCACACTCATAACCTAATCACCTCCCAAAGGCCCACAAACAGGGGGTTACAATGTAACACACAAATTTAGGGGGCATACAGACATTCAGACCTCAGCAGAGGGCAAGAAGAAAGAGCAAGTACTGGGACACCCCTCTCCTCCCATTTGGATCACTACCTTGGACCAGTGCATGTTCAGGTAGGAAGGGTTTTAGGAATGATATCGTCCACTCAGTCAGGTGGTCAAAGAAGCTCTGAAAAGCTGGAAATAGGATTATCATAATCACAGCTACTATTTCTTGAGTGCTGGACACTCTCTAAATATCAGGGGAGCACTTACTCCCCCACTCCTAAAGTTTCCATTGGGAGTGAGGTGCCCACATTCCCTTCCTGCTCCCCATCCCATTTCTGTACTCCCCCTCCTGGGGAGGAGAATGGACTTGCCGGATTGGTGGAGTTTGGAGAAGGAAGTGACCGGTCCAGCTAGTCCCTTGTGGGCATGTTCCTTTTCAATGGGCCACCTACAGAGAGGCTCCAACTCCTGTGAGTGTCTGTGTCAATCGGGTCCTGAGCTTGGAAGGGGAAGAAGTTGTGCTCATTGGCCTACCCCAACCCCCAACAACATGTATGTCATCATTATCCAACAACACAGGTGGGTGAGTATTGCTACTGTCTCCATGTTAAGGACAGGGCCATGGAGACAAAGGCCACCCCGCCGGCCGGGGCCAGGGCTGGGACTAAGAAGTTGGTTTGCCAGGGCTCTAGCCTGTGTCTTGGCCTCCCTAGAACTCAGGCTTGGTGACTCCCAGTCCAGTTCTTTCTCTCTGGCACCAGGTCATCTCCTGTCACAGAACGGGCCTCAGAGAAGGCCCTCAGATGTCACCAGTGGCTCCCGGAAGCTTGCAATGAAAACCAGACGTATCAATGGAGTTTTCATCAGAAAGGACTGCATGACATGCCATGTTCAACCTTGTGTGAAATCAGGCTTCCAGCCACCCACCCAGAAATAACCCTATGTACCTCCCAGGGTTAGTATGTGAGCATTCCATATTAAAATACATATAAGGGGGCTCGGGGTGGCTCATTGGTTGAGTGCCTGCCTTTGGCTCAGGTTGTGATCCCAGGGTCCTGGGATCGAGTTCCGCATTGGGCTTCCTACAGGGAGCCTGTTTCTCCCTCTGCCTCTTTCTCTGTGTTTCTCATGAATAAATAAATAAAATCTTAAAAAAAAAAAAAGTTGGGAAGTCCAGGTGGCTCAGCAGTTTAGCGCCACCTTCAGCCCAGGGCCTGATCCTGGAGACCCGGGATGGAGTCCCACGTCAGGCTCCCTGCTTGGAGCCTGCTTCTCCCTTTGCCTGTGTCTCTGCCTCTCTGTGTGTGTGTCTCTCATGAATAAATAAATAAAATCTTTTTTAAAAAAAAGTACATGTAATAATGCTGAGAACCAGGCATGGCATGCAGAAAATGCCTGATACCTTCTGGCTCCTGCAGCTATTACCATGTGACCTTAAACAAGTCACCTGCCCTGTATGAACTTTGGCTTCTTCACCAATATCATGGCCATGGTGATGGCACCCAGCAAGGTGGTTATTCCAGGGTCCTATGAAAAGGGTATGGGGAAGCTCTAGCAGAGGTCCTGGAAACCCTGGCGAGCTCTTGATTCTTTCTGATTCCTGACCCTAACCTCGTACTGGCCTGACTCACGGAGGGCCAGATGGCTGCAGCCTGGTGAGAAAGGGCAATTCTGGTGGATAGAGCAGCATCACCTGGACTTGGTACTCTGTGTCACCCACTTACCAGCCTGGGCACACCAGCAGGCCAAGGAGAGGCCTGTGATTCACCCCTGCCACCACTGTTTCCCCAAACCAGTGCGGGACATGGCAGAGGAGGGCCTGGGTGAACAGCTGTGGACAGAGCGCACGCACGAGTGAGCATGTCAGTAAATGGGTTAGATCCACAAATACTTACCGAGTGCCCATGATTGTGCCAGGCATTATGAATTTCGAAGCAAGTAGAGACGGCCCTGTCCGCCCCTCATGGAGCCTCCAGTCTACAGGGGTGCAAGATTTTTCTTGGAGGCCTTGGGGGCCATGGCACAGAATTCAGATTTTTTTTAAAGATTTTATTTATTTACTCATGAGAGACGGCAGGGGTGGAGGCAGAGACACAGGCAGAGGGAGAAGCAGGCTCCATGCAGGGAGCCCAATGCAGGACTCAATCCTGGGTCTCCAGGATCAGGCCCTGGACTGAAGGTGGCGCTAAACCACTGAGTGCACCCCCCACCCCCCACCCCCGGGCTGCCCCCAGAATTCAGATTTTATCTTAAATCTTATTGAAAGCCATTATCACATTGTCAGCAAGGAGAGATATGACCTGATGGGCATTTCGGTTGCTCTGGCTGCTGTGCTGCAGAGAACGGATGGAAGGTGGGGCCAATGCTGTGGCCACTACGGGTGTCCAGATTGTGGGCCATGGCAGCTGAGACCAGGAGACTGGGGTGGTGGCCACAAGATGGTGAGTAGTAGCCTCATGGGGGGTGCACCTGGGAGCTGGCATCCCCACCCTGGGATGTCTGATCAGGAGCCGAGGGTGAGAAGGAGGGATGAGTCAGAATAATTTCCAAGTTCCTGGCAGGGTGGATGGTGGCAGTGTTTCTAAAGAGGACAGTCAGAGTCTGAGTTGGGGATGTGGAGAGTCGGGCCCATTCCGGGGACCCGGAGGAGGTGTTGGGGGGCAGCAGGTACCTAGAGGTGAATCCCAGAAGGCCAAGGGACAGAATGGAGGACGGATGGGTGAGCAGGTGCTGTTGCCACAGCCAAGGTGCTTGGATACAGCTCTTCAGAGTTCCTAGGAGGTGGGACCCTGCATTGGGAGACCCAGCTGGCTCCAACCCCTCCACAGTCCGCCACCCCCCACTTCTTCTGCCCCACTGATGCATACTCCTGTAGTCTGGGGGACAAAATGAGGCTTGGGCAGGAAGAGGAGATGGAGGCAATATGGGCAGACTCCAGGGACGACAGGAGGGGTACAAAGCGGGGGAGAGAGAGAGGGGCCTAGAAGCTCCTTCCTCCTTGGCTTTGCACAGCTGCCCAGGCCAGAGCTGGGTCAATGGCCTGCACTTCATTCCCTCACCTCCAGGGGAGGCCAGCTTGCTGTCTGGGTCAGGTATGGAACTCCGAGGCAGGGTCCCGGCGCTGGGGACCCTCCTGTCCCCTTCCCACTCTAATGCATGGCCCTCCTCTGTCTCCATGACCCCATCACAGCCTGTAATTTCCAGTGCCCCCACCAGGCGGTGAGCAGTTGAGGACATGGACCGTGTGTGTGCGCCCGCACACAACTTTTCCATCTTTCTTCATGCTCCTGGTCGTGCATACTAGGTGCTTAATCAATGTTTGTTTCCTTGAATTAAAAGTGTTTGGGATCCTGGATGGCTTAGTGGTTAAGCACCTGCCTTCGGCTCAGGTCATGATCTGGGGGGCCTGGGATCGAGTCCCGCATCAGGCTTCCAGCAGGGAGCCTGCTTCTCCCTCTGCCTGTGTCTCTGCCTCTTTCTCTGTGTCTCTCATGAATAAATAAATAAAATACATATTTTTAAAGTGCTTGATTCATCTTTTGTAAGCTAGGATTAAGATCTCTCTGTCTCTCTTTACCTCTCTCTCTCTCTCTCTGATAAAATGGCACTCAGGGTGGGGATAGAGGACTTCTCAGGGAGACCTACTACCTCCACTCTGGATGGTTGAGGAAGGTTTTTTCCCCCCAGTTTCCAGACCTGCCAGAGACACCAAGCAGCCTGTCTCCAGCTGCCCGCATCAGTCCTCCACGGTGGGAGAGAATAACAAGGACCCTATACTGGGCACGCACCATGTGGCAGGTTCAATCACCTCACCTGCATTAATTACGTCCATCACTTCCTTCCATATCCCCATGACATAGTTCAAGGAGTACATTTAGAAGGGCACTCAAGAGGGCCAGGTGACTTCCCAAGGACGCTCAGCAAACTCATGGTGAGCCTGCCTGTCCTCAAGGTCCCTGCCCCTGGTCACTCTGCCTCCCGACTGCCTGCCTCTCAGGAGGCCTTTCAGAAGTGACCATGTAGTGGGACGTTGGCAGGACCCAGAGGAGTATAAGAGGAAGTGGCTTGACTTGGTGACTCCACTCCTGCCCCTCCTCCCCACCCCCACCCAGGTGCACGGAGATCTTTCCTCTGTGACTCTGCACCACACCAGCCTGGCAGCCAAAGGCACAGTGTCTCTCGCCTAGGACAGAGAGACACAACCCTCACATCAATGCCAGTAACGGTTTACCCACTTGGCTTCCTGTTAGGTTTTTTTCTTCCTTCCCCACAGGGGTGTCTCTTATCATAAACTTCTTATGAGGGGTGTTGTGCTGGGCTGTTTACCATTTGGTGACAGTTGGTGCCAAAACCAGCCCCTGGGAAAAATGAGGAGGAGTAGAGCAAGCCCAGGTGGGCCCTGGGGTCCAGACTGGACGGGACAAGCAGGCCCCGTGCAGTCAATGTCAAAGCCACATCCAGCTGCCCTGCCAGAGGCAGACTCCATCTTCTAGACAGGGCTAGCTGAGGCAGGTGGAAGGGTTTCAGCTTGCTGTGGAGCTCCCTCCGACTGCAGGGAAGAAAGAGGCAGGGAGTTGCAAATAATCCACCAGATGGATAACTGAGAGGTGGTTGGGTCTGCTGGGCTGGGGCTTGCTTTGGCCTCCAAACTGGGAGTTCTGGGTTATTCACAATGAATGCAAAATAAGAGAATCTGCTACATGAATTGGCCCTTTCTCATCTTTCTACTTCTTAACAGTCTTCTAGCAAAGACCTCTTAATGCCCTGTGGTGTGAGCTCTGTCTGACCCGGTGGCCCAGTTCTAAAGAGTGTTTTGCATCCTCCTGGGGGTCTCTGAGGCATAGCCCAGCCCTGAGCTCTTGGCCCCACATCACCCTGGGCCCCACCTCACCCTCATCAATCTGCCCAGAACACTTGAGTCTGAGACCCTGTCTACACCTGCTCATCCCCACCCCGCCCAGACCCCAGAGCCCCAACCTCAGCTTCACTCAG